TAAGAACAAAAGCTGCTCGTTTCACGAGCAGCGCGAGAAACCTTTCATACTGATCTTGGAGCTCCGGCGGCGACGCACACAGCCGAGCCGAGCCTTCCGGAGTGGCTGGCTTGCCTCGCCTGACCTTGCTGCAGCTGTCGCAGTTCTGCGGCGTTTGCCGCCAAGTGGCCAACAGGACCTGAAAGCGGTCCTCACTGGCGTTGCTGTTATCGCGATCCACGGCGCGAGCAGCTGGCCAAGACGCCAAGCCCCTAAGTAGCGAGTGCACAAGCGGCCGGCCGAGACGCCAAGCCGCTGAAAAAATGTCGCATATGTGATTGAGTTTGTGAGTAGCTTGTAAAGGGTCCCGCTGAGGGGAAGCACGCGCGCAACCAACACTGCTTACAGAGTGTGACTCTCTGCGCAAAAAAAAACAAGACAAAACAACACTTGTCTTGGAGCGCTCGACTGACTGTGATGCTCGGGAAATTGTGACAATTGCGTGGTGAGGTATGAGGTGCGCCACATGCCCAAGTCACGAAAGTACCTACACGTAAACAAAATGGCATTTAGTCTTGGACTGAGCAATCAAAGACACCTGTGTCCTTCTGCGGCTTCTCGTGCTTCTCTGTTTCGCTTTCTTTCTGTCAGTGTTTCTTTCTTGCCTGAAGTTTCCTTCTTGCTTTGACTCATCGGTTGGCCAACGTTTTCATCCCCGAGCTCGCAGAGTGGACCTCACGAAAGTGCTGCGCCTGCCACGAACTCTATACTTGACCTTGCGAAAGTGCATCGCCTGCCGCGAAATCTTTTATGACAATGCGAAAGCACTGCTCCCGCCACCTTGCGAAGCTTTCCGCCACCTTGCGAAGCTTTCGCCCGGCCGTGCCAATGACCCGTCTCCGGGACCGTTCCGAGACCTAACCCCGCCTCCGCAACCGAGGTGGTTTCGCACGCACGGGGCCAACGTTTCTTCATCATCTCGCAGAGAGTGGATCCAGCACCTTGCACCTGCCACGAAATTCTTGCGAAACTGCTGCCCTTGCCGCGCAACTCAATTCTTGCGAAACCTTCGCGCAGTCATGCCAATGGGATCGTCTCCGGGACCATTCCGAGACCACGCCGAGACCGCGCCAAACCCGCCTCCGTACAGGCGTGACAAGCGAGGTGGCTTTGCGCTGTCCGAGGAGCCGAATTCATGCACGGGGCCAACGCTTTCTGCGTCTTGCTATCCCCCAAGTCGGAGAGAGTGGATGCAGCACCTTGCGAAAGTCCAGCGCCTGCCACAAAATTTCATTTGACCTTGCGAAAGTGCGGCGCTGGCGTGCCAATGGGCCCATCCCCGGGACCGTTCCGAGACCGGGCCAACGTTTTCTCCATCTTACTACCCCCCAGCTCTCCTGATTTCAGCATTTTCATTGTTTTCCCCCCCCTTTTTTTTTTTTCGCACATCCTTGCATCTTAAAGATATCTATTTGTCAAGCTACCTCTCTGTCAAAATTGTCTATCTGTCACGCTAACCACATTGGAAAACGATGTATGTGTCAAGCTATCTGTCATGGCTACCGTGTCAAAGCAACTAGCTCAATTTGGTTCCAATACTACGGAAGTTTCTTGTTCAACTTCCGCTGGTTCTGACCACTTCTGGGCATTGCGGCATTGAGGGCGGCCTTTTTCATGAGAACATGCAAAGGTTGCAGGCGAGGGAACTGTCAGCGGCAAGGGCTAGCTCACAATTGCCTACATTAATGTAGCGATGGTTCAAATCTTCAGGAAAATCCACTTCATTTTGTTCAATCTCATACCCTGCTTCTTGGCCCGATTTCAAAGTGAAGTGCTTCTTTCTTCCTCAATGGCCCCGGGTGGTTGGCAGTCAAATCTTGCGGAGAGATGTCGGCCGTGTGGCTTGACGGCTTCCAGTTCTTTGGGTCGGACGCCCGGTCCGTACGCGGACGCACGGGGCACATGGAGAGTGCACATCGCACACCGTGGCGGCTCAGCTGCGCCGAAAAGGTCTTGGCGCGGGAGGGAGGCAAGGAACTTGACTCAGGTTCAAAGCATAAAGTCAGGCAATTGGGATGAAATGCAAGAGGGTTCTGCGCTGAAACTTCCTTGTCTTCACATGGTGCTCTTTGTTTCCTTGGCAAGCAGCTGAACTTTTGGCCTAGTGTAATGTAGTCTTGGCGCTGTTGCAATTCACACGGCCCTTGAACACTCCTCAACATTGCAGTTCAGCAACACGTCATGTGCCAGCCTTGACAATGTAGCTCACGTCTCAGCGAACAAGCTTGTGCCAAGGCAACTTGTCTCTTTCTAATCGGACTTTTGTCCTGAAGGGGTCTGCAACTTAAAGGCTTGACTCTAACCCACCCCACCCCCACCCCCACCCCCACCCCCACCCCCCGCAATCAAACCGTTGCATGAATTGCGGGTTTCTTGCCGCCAGGGCCCAAAATTGGGCCACCCAGCTTGGAATTTTGAGGGGTTGGCCTGGAGCTTTTTGTCCGACCAAACGCAAAGGCTGATCGAAGGCCCCCGGCTTTTGATTGATTCCACCAGGTGGGGTACCTCCTGCTTTCTTCAACATGTTTCATTTTCAACTCGCAGAGCTTGGTTGTGGCTTGCACACATCAGTCACTTCCTAACCACATTAACATGTTGGAAGGCACGTTGTTCTTGCTGGACGCGAAGTTGCAAACGTGGCCCCTGCAGCTTGGATAGAACCAAATCTATGCCCTTGGCTCGCTGATTTGATCGTAGCTGGTAGGGAATTCAGGAAGAGCCTCTGCCTTTGACATTCTGCTGGCAGGAGACCCCAAGTGTGAAAGCAGCAAGCGCAGCTGAAGACTGCAGACTACACTGCCTGGGGAATAGATGTTTTACCTTGATGGTCGATAGGTTGAGTCGATTCACCCGCTCGATGTGGATAAATCCTCCCGTAACTAAGCGCTTTGGGCAGGTGGCTCTCAACGAGAAGGAGGAGGCCCGAGGCTCAAGGCTGCCAGTGTGCGAGTTTCTGGATGTTTACTGTTTAGCACGCTGATCATAGCTGGATGTGGTTGGTGTAGCTATCATAGCTAAACAGGACGGCACCGTTATTCTCAACTGTGAGCTGTTTTCTGAAGGTTTACTCTCTGAGCAGTCGAATCCCAACACTGGGGCTTACTTATTTCAGCTTGGCAGATGTGACATATTGCCCTGCACTTTCCTTTCACGATGTGTCTGTTCCGCCCACAGTCACAAGGAGCCTGAAACTAGGTCCTGCCTTGAAAGAGCATCCTAGCAGAAACCACACGTCTAGTTTCATGGAGGAGTGCATCACTTGCCCTCAGCGGTGGGCTACCTAAGTTGCCAAGCGCAACTTTAAGCTGGCTCCCCCACGCATCCCCATTTTCAAGACCTTTGCTTGGGTTTGGTGATTTGTTCAAGCGTAACAGCACCAAGATCTTCAGGCTTACGACGGCCGCAAACACCGGGGGATACGGGCAGAGGTAACATGGTGGTTGTTGGGGAACATTTTACATGTTTGCTTATTGTGGTTTAGTGGTTGAAATCCAACCACTTAACTGCTAAAGTTTAAATTTTTGCTCCTCTTCCAACGTCAACCAAGGTAAACTTAGAGACTTAGAGGTTACCCAGAGGCTGAAAGCGACCAGCTCGAGAGAGAAGGCACAAGCTCAAGGCTTCGTTCAAAGTAGCAACCTACCTGAAGATGTGTGTGTGTGTGTTTTCGTGGCCAAAGACCATTCAAGATCTGGCAAATGGGTAGGGGTCAAAATTAAACCAAGGGACCGCAGGTTTTGGTCCATGTGTACACTTACTAGGGTTCCATTTGGGGTACCTATTTTTGACCACAGCCAAATCAAGGGCTAGAAGCGGTTTCCAAAAGGACTCATTCAGAGAGAGCATCCGTGAGAGCCCAAACTTGGCACGAAAAGTAAAGCCGTGCCGCGAATTCTTCCCATGTTCTGCTACAGGTATCTTCCACGCTCAAGGTGATTGGTTACCTAGTTCATTTTGACAACGGGACTTGGGCAGTGCATACCAAGTCGGAGGTCAATTTTATTGGTGGGTACCTCTGAGTGGAGTGGTGTAGTCAGCAGAATGCTGGCAATTGCCAATATACCCCAACAAATGTCCATTGACTCGTTTTTGTATCGTGTACAAGGCATGGTGGTCGTGTTTGTCGAAACTTCCAAAAACATCATTGGCAATGACACTTTATCGCTGTTGGCGCATTTTTGGTGACTTGCTGGCAGGGCCGAACATGTGTGCTGTTTCCCAGCGCGTGAAGGTTTCAGCGGCTGGCCAAGTCATTCTCTGTCCTTTAGTGGTCGAGAAATATGCAGGAACTGGAAGAGTGCATGGACAGATTAATATTTAGATAGATGACATATGGATAGATCGATGGCTAGACGGGTGGAAAACAGATGGCAAGTTGACGTGCAGATGTCAACGTCTATGGCTGGTTGCTTAGCATAGCTTTTTCGCATGCTATCCTGACAGGCTTGCGGGTTTGCTTCATACTATTCTTCTGGAAAACGGGTCAGCCTCCTAATGTTGTGCCCAATTTTTACTTTCCTTGCTTTGCTTAGGTCTTTTCGATCCCGCGCTAGCAATTTGGAGGTGTTGCGCAGTTTCAGTCTCAAGCACCTTGCAAGATAAAACGTTTGACCTTTTGGTTTTTCCTTTTTGGTCCATAGGAGAGGTCCCAAAAGGTGATCACCTTTTATTTCCAGGTCCTTTGGGCAAGTGAGGATCCTGTGTTTGACTTGCATCGCATCGCAAGCTTGAGATCGCCAGCTGAGCAACCAGCACGTTGCGCATGTGAGTTGGCTCCGATTGCCCATGCAGCCACGCATGCAGCACCCTGATTAGCAGCCACCAAACATCTGCGGTTTGTTGCAGAACGGAAACTCGCATGGACCAGTGTGTTGGTGTTCATTCACAGGCGATTGACCAACATGGGCACACTCAGCGCACCAGCGGAGATCGATTCGCATCAAATGCAAGACGCATTTCCCTGGCATTGAGTTTGCGAGCCCGGATCGCCCGTTGAGCTGTGCTGCTGCTTGCCTGGTGAGGCCGGCCGGGATCGGCAAGCCGTCCACCATATTGGTCTGGCGCAGAACGGTTCGGGCCCCTTTCCGAGCGCTGGGCAAAATTAAGCCACCAGAAATACCGCAGGTTCTAGTCCGCAGGGTTCCTTTTTTGCCAGGGTTCCATTTGGGGTACCAAAAAAAAAAAGAAGACAGCAGCCGTGTAGTCTTCCATTTGGAGAGAGTCACCCATGTCCCTTCAACTGGCTGAAAAATGCGGCCATATGGCACGGAGCCGCCCGAACTCCGAAGTAAATGCGAAGTCTGTGAACTGGGTCTTGAATAGAGGGGTATGGGCATGTGCTTCCCCAGATAGCTTTAAGCTGCGGGGCTTCTTACTTCGAAAGAGCCGCTTGTTCATCGACTCTGGCCAGGTGGGCTCTGTGGGTACTTGTTCTGCTGCTCGGGGTGCTGTTTGTGCGCTCAGGTGCTGTGGTAACGACTAACGATACTGATCATTTTACATGTTTGCTTATTGTGGTTTACTTGGAAATCTGCACTTAGCTGCTAAAGTTTGAATTGTTGCTCCCCTTGCAACGTCAACCAAGACGCTTGCTTTGCTCAAGATGGTGTGGTAAGCTGTCGGTTGTTTGGTGAGGCAGCCGGGTGCTGGGGTTCTGTTGTATGAGACTTGGGGTCTATGCTGGTGTCATTTTCTAGGCCCCCAACTTGCTGAGCCACCATAGAAGCAGGATGTTGCTTTGATACGTTGCCAAGCATTTCGAGCTTCCAGAGGGAACTGCCAGCACGCCTGTGTACCATTTACCAGCAAGCTGGATTGTTCCCTCAGGCCTACCAAGCCTGAGCAAGATTTCATGCGCTGCACTGGGTTGGGCCCTGAAGTTCCTGTTCGCAACGCTAGCCATTCCACTTGCAACAGTTGTAAATCGGGTGTCACCAATCTTAGCAATCGAG